TCTCTCCAGTGTGTGTACCGTGTCTGTCCCGTGTGTATTATCTGAGGCAGTGCCAGTGTTAAGCATGATGCCAGTGTGGGTCTGCATGAGTCTGAGTCTTCGTTCGTGTGGGCTGTCCAGTGTGTTGTAGTTTGTGGTGGTGTGTGTGTGCAGTGTGTTGTAGTTTGTAGTGGTGTGTGTGTGCAGTGTGTTTTAGTTTGTAGTGTGGTGTGTGTGTGCAGTGTGTTGTAGTTTGTAGTGGTGTGTGTCTGTGTGTGGTGTAGGCGAGTGCAGGGCTGAATGCCATGAGGTGTGAAGAGGGGTTGTGTGTGATGGGGTTGAGGTGTGTGTGTCTATGTTGAACTTCTTTCACGTTGTAAGTAGCCAACAGTCAATCGAGAGGATTTGAAAGTGCATAACTGCAACGACTTCCTAACATCGGAAGGAAGAGCATTCCAGGCGGCCGCAGAAGCAGCGCATCCGAAAGCGCCACGCGATGATGCGTTGACGACCGTCTTTGTTCGATGGGCTGAGCCAAGAGCCGCTCCTGCTGCTGTGATGATGAGCGGAGCGTCGCGTGATGATGAGCGGAGAGCGGAGAGCGTCGCGTCATGATGAGCGGAGTGTCGCGTGACGAGATCAGCAGCAAGGTGTGTGGTTCCTTTGCACTCTGTGTGTGTGATGACCTGATAGTAATAACGCTGCGTTCGTTCGGCAGCCGGAAGCCAATGCTAGCTCAGCGAGTGGGATCTTGGACACTCGGACATGACACGCGTCAGAGTTTTGTACTCGCTGCTGCTGCAGCTTGCTCATGTTTGTTTGTCAGACGTCTCTTTTTAGAGTAGCGAGTTGCAATATTCGAGCCTTGTCGATACTCCTACTACTATGCTACTACAACTACGCTGCTACTACAACGCTGCACACGCAACCGCCATGTCGGCTACGTCACGACTCAACAGTGACCGAATGTGTCGTCGAGCCCTGATATGAAAATTGCATGACCACTCTAATTTACACGCGGTGGTGAAACAACATTCTGATTGATTATGGTGCTGAGGCTCTTTAGACACAAGTAGAAAACTGAATCCTGGAGTCTGCGACCGCCACACCCAATACACTCAATAAAAATGTCACCTGGGCCCAAGTGCCAACCGGCAGCACCTCCGATATCTCTGGATGAAGCATCTTTGTTTCGTACAAACCACACACGTGCACTGCTCACGAGCAATCCTCATTCATGAGTGTGAGAGAGTGAGTGAGTGTGTGGGTAAGAGAGTGTGAGCGAGTGTGAATTAGTGAGTGTGAGAGCGAGGAGTGTTCGTGGGTAAGCAAGTGGGTTAGTGGGTGTGTGAATTAGTGAGTATGTGAGCAGGTGAGTGGGCGAGTGAATTAGCGAGCAGTTGAGTGAGTGGATGTGTATGTTGGTCCGGCAAAACAACCCCCCTACCTCCTCGTGGTGCCGGACGGGCAACGCTGTCGTGGGCAGTGCTGTGGAGGGAGGGCCAATTCCGATTGGCCTTTCCCCTCATGGCGTTTGTGACCACCACAGCGGCCAAATGGGGGCTCTGGATGGGTGCGAGGGGCTGGTAACCCCTCCACCTTCAATGAATTACCGCTAAACCACGACGGACAAAATTTAATTAATAAGCTTGTGCCGGAGGCCCAGGGGGGACAGACATCTATGACGTATCCTGGCCAAACCCCATTTGGCGAAGCCAGGAGACTGAATCGTTACCCTAGGGGCTCCTCCAGAAACAACAAAACACCACTACGTGTGGCCACGTGGAATCTTCGAACGCTCACTGCGGAGGAGAGGCTGCCACTCCTTTGTCGGGAGCTGGACCAGTACCGCTTGTGGTTTTTAGGAGGTCCGGTAGACAGGCACTGGCTCCTGCCACCATGAGGGGTGGACAGTCCTCTTCTCGGGGCAGAAGAATGCCAAACAACAGGGAGTGGCTCTTCTTCTGAACAAAAGAATGAAGGGGGCGTGGGAGCGTGGCGGTGAGGTGTGGGAGGCTGTAAGCCTTAGGCTACTTTGGGCTCATCTTCCTATCAACCAGAGGCGAGGAGTGGTGGTCGTGGTTACTTATGCCCCCACTGAAGACGAACATCCGTGGAGGGATGCAGGCAAGGCCGATGAGTCAGATGCCTTCTATGATTCTATGACCTCCTGTCACAGGTGGTAGCTAAAGTGGCCCCACGGGATAGAGTTATCTTGTTAGGTGACTTCAATGCTCGAGTTGGTCATGATGCTGACACCTGGTCTGGAGTGATTGGAAGGCATGGGTCAGATCAGCTCAATAACAAGGGTAGGAGGCTGCTAGATTTTTGTGCAGCCCATGAGCTTGTAATTACCAACACGTTGTTCCGGCATCAACGCATCCACATAACATCATGGATGCATGCCGGGTCCAAGCAAGAACATCTGCTGGACTACGTAGTGACGGAACAGCAGATGCGGGCCCATGTCCTTGACACCAGGACCTACCGTGGAGCTGATCTGCCCACTGACCATCGGCTTGTCATCTGTAAGATGCGCTTGCCATTTTTCCACTCCAGTGGTAGGTGTACACCCAGGACCTCATTCAAACCCTTAGTGACATGGTCTCAGCTAGCTGATGAAAGTTGCAAGCGAGAATTTAATCATCGCTTGCGGCTGGGGTTGACATCGTCCCCCACTCCTCCTGATGTCGAGGGGAATTGGGCGAGGTTGAGGACTGTGGCTCATGCAATGGCTGCTTTGGGTACACGGTCCAGACCTCCCCAGAGACCCTGGCTGACAGAGGAGGTGTTCAAGCTGGCTGAGAAAAATTAACCCGTAAAAACAAAGTTTTTCACTCTAAATCCTTTATATGCGTGGCGGCTAGAGTCCTCTCGTCCTCTGGCTTGAGATGGCTGCCACCTATGGGTCAGATGATTGTCTGCCAGCATTAAGCAATTGGTAATTAAATATTTTTTTAAAATTCCCTAAACAGTGTAAAATTTTGGAAAAAAATTTTCACGAAAATGTATTGTCACGCACGACGAGTCTGTGTGGAAAATGTCAGCTCGATTGGATCATGGGAAGTGGGTTAAAAAACGACTGAAAGATTTGCACGGTCGTAAGCAAGCAAGCAAGCACACAAGCAAGCAAGCAAGCGAACTTAATATAAAGGATTTAAAAAGCAACAGGCTCACTCTAATCGTCGACAGCATGCCACGTCGGAGAATGAGGAAGATTACCGCAGCCTTCGCTCGGAGGTTCGGAGACCTGTGAGGCGCTGCAAATATGGGTGGTGGTCGCGGGTTGCTGAGGAAATGAACTCTGCCTCAATGGCCCGCAATCACAAATCGCTCTTTAATTCCATCAAAAAAGTAACCTGCAGCACCACACCTATTGCCATCATTAGGGGAAAGAATGGTGATCCAATCTCCGACCCCCAGGAACAGGTTTGCAGATTTGCTGAGCATTTCTGTGAGGTCCTGGGACAGGGGACATCCCCGTCAGCCTGGATAACAACGTGAGACAAAGTGGGGATGACCCTGCCGAGGCTGCGGTGCCTCAAATATTGGAAGAAGTCACCCCCTGTGAGTGGCTGGCTGAGGTGCCATCTGTGGAGTACTAAAGGCGATCCAGAGTCTGAGACTAGGAAAAGCACCGGTTAGAGATGATCTCCCAAGCGAAATGCTGAGGGTGGCGTTTGTGCACAGACTGCCCTATATTACATCATCACAACGGTCTGGACCACTGGACGGGTTCCGCAGGACTGGAAGGATGCTCTGGTGGTCCCCCTCGTTAAGAAGGGGAGCCGCACAGACTGTAACAACTAAAGGGGGCATCTCACGCCTCAGTGTGCTGGGAAAGGTCCTGGCAATGATTATTCAACATCGCATTGCTAGGCACACTGCAGAGAGGCTTGCGGAGCCCCAATGCGGTTTCAGGAAAGGGCGGTCCTGCACAGATGCCATATTTTCTGTCCGTCTGCTACAGCAGAGGTGATAGGGCAGTTGTGGAGAGAGGACGTGGAGCTGAGTGGACTTGCAGATGACTGGTACTAGCAGTGTCAAGATCGGCCTCTGTGGAGGAGGCTCGTAAAGGACGCTACTGGGCAGTTGGAGGCAGTCGCCCTCCAACAACAACGGAGGGCGGAGGAGCGGCGTTCACAACGAGCGGAGCGCCAGGTGGCTAAAGCACAGCAAGTTGGCACAGTAGGGGGCACAAGTGGTGCATCAGCCAGTCGTCTCAGTCAGTCGACCCGTGGCACCTGCTGGGTCTGTCCCGCGACCTCCTACCAATGGGCGTTCGACACTTCACGTGGCCTCAAGGTGCATATAGCCTGGCACAAGCGTTGTGGTGAAGTCACCGCCACTTAGTGATGAATGGCGGTTGTTATTGTTGGTGAGTGAATTAATGAGGTGAGTGGGTGAGTGAATTAGCGAGTACGTGAGTCAGTGAAAGAGTGGGTGGGTGGGTGAGTGAGTCAGTGAGTGGCAGGCAAGTAGTTGTTTGAGTGTGTGGGATGAGTAGGTGAGTAGTCGTGTGAGTGTGTGGGTGGGAGAGTGGCAGGTGAGTAGTGTGGGTGAAGCTCATGAAGGACGCTTCTGGGCAGTTGGGAGGCAGTGGCCCCTCCAGCAATAGTGGAGGGTAGGAGCGACACTTACAACAATGAGCGGAGCGCCAGGCGGCTAAAATTCAGCAAGTTGGCACAGAAGGAACCTGCGTCTGTCCCGAGACCTCCTGTCAGCGAGCCTTCAGCACTTCACGTGGCCTTAAAGTGCACCTGGCCTGGCACAGGCGCCATGGTGATGTCACCATCACTTTGTGGCGAATGGTGGGTATTGGTATTAGTATTGGGCGAGTGTGTGGGTGGGTGAGTGTGTGAGCGAGTGGGTAGATGAGCGAGTCAGTGAGCAAGCGGGCAGGTGAGTGAGTGATCGGGTGAGCGAGTGCGAGTGAGTGAGCAAACGGGCGGGTGAGCGAGCAGGTGAGCAAGTGAGTGGGTGAGTGAGTGTGGATCGGTGGCCGTGAGTGAGGGTCTCACCGCAGCTCCGCTTGAGGGGTTCGTGGTTGAGTGCCCTTGCTTTCTGTCTCCATGGCAGGTCTGCACGGAGGGGTAACGGAACCCCGCAGCCCCCCCCCGCTCTTGGCTGGGGGGGGGGGGGACACGGCTGGCTCTGTGCTTCCTCAGACCTGCGGTGACACCACACAACCGTCACGTTCACCACCACCTGCACCCACCAACTTGCTTACTCACCCACGCACATCCACCACTATCACCTACCCACCTGCTCACTCACCTACCCACTCACCCACACACATCCAAACACCATCACCCAACCACTCACGCACTCACCCACCCACACATCCACCACCATCCCCCAACCCACCCACCTGCTCACTCACCCACCCACTCAGTTACTCACCCACACCAAGACAAAGATCCCCGCCGAGCCTGTAAGAAACTGTTGGGGCAAGAACTGTTAGCGAGCAGCGACTATGAAGGATGGCACAACACACAAGGGGGTGGGTGGCTAACACCACGCCCGGCCGCCTTTGTCTCCCTAGTGGTGATGTTTACACACCTCACACTCGGTAGTCATTTGAGGCCGAGTCAACCTACGGGAGGAGGCCAAGGACCGGTTCAGATAATCGTAACTTGTGTTGGCCGTGAGCGGGAATCGAACTCGGGTCCCCTGCCGGGTTCCCAGCACAGCATAGATCTAACCGCTGCATCACCGCTCGCTACAGCTGTGATCCAATAACCAATACCCGCCATTCGCCACGGCACCTGTGCCAGGCTATGTGCACAGTTGAGATCACACAAAGCAGCAGCAGAAACATCGCCCCTTGCTGCGCAAACTCATGCGCAAGGAACGTAGCCCTTAGTGCAATCCGGCGTTGTGTGTAAAGTGAAGTCTCCCTCGTGTAACTCTGCTGACCCCGTACCCCACACTGGACATCTGTGATGAAGAGCTTCATAGTTCATCGCATTCCTCCTGCTGTCCAAACAGAGACTCCGATTCTGATCTCTGCAGGATTCATGGAGCCTCAATGAGATTACAATGAATATTGTGCGTGCAGTAAATTATACAAGCAACAACCGCCATTCGCCAATAGGTGGCGGTGACATCACCATGGCGCCTGTGCCAGGCTATGTGCATGTTAAGGCCACGTGAAGCGTCGAATGCCTGCTCGCAGGAGGTCATGGGACAGATACAGCAAGTGCCATGGGTTGACTGAGATGGCTGGATAATGTGCCACCTGTGCCCCCTACTGTGCTAACTTGCTGAGTTTTAGCCGCCCGGCACTCTGCTTGTTGTTGTGAGCGTCGCTCCTCTGCCCTCCGTTGTTGTTGGAGGGCGACTGCCTTCAACTGCCCAGTAACGTCCTTCACGAGCCTCCTACGCAGAGGCCGATCTTGACACCGCTGGTAACAATCATTGGCAAGTCCACTCAGCTCCATATCCTCTCATATCACATCAGTCCATCTATTCTCTAGCCCATTCCACACCCGTTTTTAGCCCTATCTATCCGGTCGAACAAAAGCTGTTTGGACAAGCGGTGGCTGGGCATGTGGGCTACATGACTCAGAGTACAGACTCTCACTCACTCACACACACTTGGATACTATAGCCGCACAGCATTAGACACGACTGTGTACACTCTCATTAGGATCACACACTCTCAATTACGTTCTCTCTCTCATTCACACGATCGGTCAAGCAGAGCCCTGACTCATTGTGTTGAAGCAATGCTGCTGCTGCGATGCACTCTCCGAAGGCCGTGTGGCTGATGGGATGTGTACAAAAATATGCTTGTATCGTTTATACGGAGAGGTGGTTGTAAAGGAGGAGGCGGTATCTGTCCGGTTATTCTGCTGTACAGTATTCCCCCGTTATTTGCAAGGGATACCTTCCGGAGATGCTCGTGAATAGCAAATTTCGCAGATGATTATATTGGCATACAAAAACCCTACATTTGTTCATGAATTGCCTTAAATAAATATGTATATAGTACATCTCATTAAATTCTCTCTCTCGAGAGAGAGAGAGAGAGATGATGATGATGATGATGCAGGAGCCGTGTATAGTCCCAAATGCAATTCTCAGACAGCAAGTTCGTGAATAAGAAGATAACCTTAGTCTCCCACCGTGCATCACACCTCTGCCTAATCTCTGATCCACTCACATCCCCCGTGGAGCATATTATAGCAGCTACCATTAATAAATATCAATGTCATTGATCTCTTTTAGATGCGCTGCTTCTGCGGCCGTCTGGAACACTCTTCTCTTTCTGATATTCGGAAGCCACTGGAGCTATGCACTTCTAAAAAATCGAGATTGAAAACTCTTCTTTAGAGCTGCTTGTTGTTGTTGTGTTTGTTGTCCTTCCCCCGCACCTCCGATTAGCACTGTCGGCTACATACGGTGCGAAAGAAGTTCATCGTACTACACACATTACCGTGGGTTTTAATGCATCACCTGGCGAGGTTGATGCTGGCGCGTTGGTGGCGCTGGTGCGCAAACAACGGAGAAAACTCCCAACGGGCTCCATGCCTATGGCGACACCGGCGCCTTGTCAGGAACAGAGGCGACGTTTTTGGCAAGGACCCTTCTTCAGAGCTCACGTGCTATGAAAACGTTATTTATTTTAACTTTCAAGGCTACAACTGCAGCATTTCATCATGGGACCTCTTTTGCCAGTACCAAAATATACTAATAGGGTTTTTCCCCTTTTTTTTCTGGCAACAAAACTGACACCTTTTGCAAGGAATCATGTTTACATTAACCACAATACTTGCAGTCAAATGCAAACCAAAAACAATACTATGGTAATTTATGCATTGTCTTTGAAACTGATTGGTCCACACCAGAGACAGCTTTCTTTGGAGCCTCGTCTCATATGGTGTTCGACCAGATGACGCCAAAAGGCGCACAGTTCAAGACAACGCACTACCAGAGTAATGAGGGCTCGGGGTGAGCAGCTACATCATGGGACCACTTTTTCCAGTACCAAAATATACTAATAGGGTTTTCCCCTTTTTTTCTGGCAACAAAACTGACACCTTTTGTAAGGAATCATGTTTACATTAACCACAATACTTGCAGTCAAATGCAAACAAAAAACAATACTCTGGTAATTTATGGTGTGGACCAATCAGTTTCAAAGACAATGCATAAATTACCAGAGTATTGTTTTTTGTTTGCATTTGACTGCAAGTATTGTGGTTAATGTAAACATGATTCCTTGCAAAAGGTGTCAGTTTTGTTGCCAGAAAAAAAGGGGAAACCCCCTATTAGTATATTTTGGTATTGGCAAAAGAGGTCCCATGATGTAGCTGCTAACCCCGAGCCCTCATTACTCTGGTAGTGCGTTGTCTTGAACTGTGCGCCTTTTGGCGTCATCTGGTCGAACACCATATGAGACGAGGCTCCAAAGAAAGCTGTCTCTGGTGTGGACCAATCAGTTTCAAAGACAATGCATAAATTACCAGAGTACTGTATTGTTTTTTTTTCCATTTGACTGCAAGTATTGTGGTTAATGTAAACATGATTCCTTGCAAAAGGTGTCAGTTTTGTTGCCAGAAAAAAATGGGAAAAACCCTATTAGTAAACTGCGGCATTATTTACTTGGCACTGCATCCATTCATCGGTGGAGGCTGCTCTACGTTCGCCACGTGTAGTGAATCCATTAATCACATGGTCTCATGTGTCTGTATGTAGTGAAGTGTATAATAATGTAGTGTGCATTGTAGTGTATATTGTAGTGTATGTGTGTTGAACTTCTTTCGCACCGTACGTAGCCAACCGTGCTAACCGGAGGTGGAACAACAAATTAAACACAACAAGCAGCAGTTCTAAAGAAATGAGTTTGCCAATATAGACTGATAGTTTTAAAGTTGCATAGCTCCAGTGGCTTCCTAATATTGAAAGGAAGAGTGTTCCAGACGGCCGCAGAAGCAGCGCAGCTGAAAGCGCTGCGCGATAATGCGGTGACCAGTCTTTGTTAGACGCCAAAATCCATTGGCTCTCGCCTGATGATGCTGGTTGTAATTACCGGCGGAACGTCACAGTATGAGAATTGGGTTTACTCTCCAACACACAACCAGTTAGAGCTGAACTAGTCATGAATTGTCTTGCTTCGTTCACGTGACAAACCCTTGCTGATTGGCTGTCGGGTGGTGATGGATTTAACGACACATTTACACGTACGCGATCTAACCCCAAAAAACGTCTATTATGGATAATATTGGTCGCAAACGCCTCCTTCCTCATCCGCGTGAAATCAAAAGCTGCCGCTGTGGCCTGCAACAATGGCACGAGTGTCGCGTAATGATGGTTTATAGCTGCTTGACGAGATGAGCAGTGAGCTATCGTGTGGTTCATCTGTGGCAAGCAATGTGTAATGAGTGTGATGACTATAAAACATGCTGCGTTCGCTCGGCAACCAATGCAGCTCGGCGAGCACTGGACGGACAAGGAGTGGGATCTTGCAGTACCAGAGTTTTGTACTCGCTGCTGCAGCATGCTCATGTTTGTTTTCACCAGACGTCCCGCAGAGTGGCGAGTTGCTATAATCGAGCCTTGTGGATACTCCTACTACGCTGCTACTACGACTACGCTGCTACTGCTACTCTACTACAGGCCACCGCTGTGTAATAATGTGTTCATTCGGCTGCTGCTGAGTTCCTACCCCTCCCTATCAACTAAAACTAGAAACTATTTTTTTTACTTTACCAGGTGTAGGGCCCACCACTGAGCTATATAGATATTTTGTGAGAAGCGACCTGGCTATCACAAATTAAAGCTCAACAAAGTAGAAGCTAATTATCATCATCACGTGGAGATTTGAAGCAGCAGCCAAATACTCAAAGCGCGTGATGTTAATTATAAATGTGGAGGGAAAAACTGGAGCCGGAGAATAATCCACATGACCATGGGGAGAACATGCACACTCCAAATATACAGCAGGCATTGTCACGGTCGGGATCGAACCCACAACCTCATGTATACTAGACGATGTAGTTAACATCTCCGAGCTACCTTGGCGTCAGGGTCAAAATCGAACCCACAACCTCCTGTATACTAGGCGATGCAGTTAACATTTCGCCATGATCACTGCAGAAGGATCTGCATCACAGCCAGATCAGTCTATGAAAAATAAGAATAGGTTTTACCCTTTCTGGCAATAAAACAGGAGGTGTTAAGATGTTCAAACCCAAAAGAGAAACCTTTTTTCAACAGTTTTACTTAACTTGATTTCTCTGTTTGTCGTGGTCAAATCTTGGAATCAAAATTGCGTCCACTTTCCGTTGTCCAATCAATTCAACATTTTGCACAAGTACACAGATCCGGTGACAATGTATCAAAATCGGCATCAATTAATTCGCGACTTTAAAGCAATTAACATTTTGGATGGACGCCTTATTATTTATATATTTGTGTAGGTCAAAAACGCCACGGTCCCTAAACTGTGGAATCGGCTCGCACAAAACGCAGGGGCCGCGTGTCTCAGGCGCCATTTATAGCACTTCTAGACCGCGAGTTAAACGAAGCGTTGTTAATAAACCCGTTGTTTTAAAAAAAACTTTTTTAAAGGAGTTTATTGCAAGGATCAGTCCGTTTAGCCATGAACGCCACTGCATCAAAATAACCAGATGTTTAAAAAATATATAAATAATAACGAAAAAAAGAAGAGTATAAACTCACTCCTAGCTTCCAAGACACCCCTCTCGTTGTTTCGATGGGCAGCTCGGAGTCATTCGTTTTGCCCTCTCGTAGGCACCGCCGTTACCAACCAGCGGCAGCAGCTCACACCACTCACCAGCACAGTTGGACCGCGTCGTGTTACCATCACCAACCACATCAATTGGACCGCATTGTAAACCCAGCGGTTAACGCCGCAGTGGGGCTAAGAGATGTTGACTACCTCTCCCGATATACAGGAGGTCGTGGGTTCGATCCCGACCCTGACGATGCCTGCTGCTGTATATTTGTTGGAGTCTGCATCTCGCTCTCTCCGTGGATTTTTCTCCGGTTCTTCCGCTTTCCCCCTCCACAGTGAGACTCAATGTCTCTGCACGTTCAGAGGATTTGGCCGCTGCTATAAATGTACACACGACGCTTGGCTGAGCTGCAATCATTCGTGATGGCCAGGTCGTTTTTCACAAAGAAGCGAATAAACTCAGTGGGGCATCACCTGGTACAATAAAAAAAATCGTCGAGTTTAATTTGCCTCATGTTTATACCGTTGCACTCCTATCGTGTTGTTTCCAACGCGTTCGCCGTTTGTAACATTCTAACCTCCCTGCCCCCGGCTGGACATCCGTGATTAAGAGCTTCATAGCTCATCGGATTCATCGTGCCGCTACAGTCTAAAGATGTATATATTCCTAAGCAACCTCTCACAATCACAACAACAATAATCTTGAGCGCAGCTACAATGCGCGCGATGCAAATCAATTTCAGCAAAAACTCAAACCCCGTTCGGCAGCGGGAGATTCAATTAACGTCCAATCAAAGCCACAATAACCACAACAACAATAGCCACTACAACAATAGCCACGACGACAATAACGATGCAGAGTGAGGCTCATCGAATTTTTCACGGCGATTATTCACCTCGCTTGCTTGGCGTGAGGAGAGCGACACGGAGGGTGGTGGTGGGGGGGGGGGAGAGACCTCCCCAAGGCCTCACAGCCTCGGTCTAGCCTAGCGCCTCGCCCCCGTGGGGTGGAGGTAGTGGGGGAGGCCCGGGGTAGGCCGCACGGAGCTGCTCCCCACCTCTCCGCCGTCTAAGAGGTCGCAGCAGCAGCCGCAGCAGCAGCCGCAGCAGCAGCAGCCGCCACCGCGGTCGGGAAGCAATCTCAAGGAAGGCGAGGGAGAGGTGGGACCCCGGGGGGAGCCGCGATCGGCCGCCTCGCTCTCCTTCTCGCTCCGCGCGGGACGGCTGCGGGCCCAGGGCAGGCGGCCGCCAGACAATGCCGCGGAGTGGTCAATGGTGGCGGGATAGGCGATGGGAGCGGGTCAGGGGTCACGAGATGGGGGGAGCCCCGCCCCCTCACGCGTCAAGCCCCCGACTCCTCCTCCACAGCCTCCTCCACAGCCCCGCCCCCTTCCCCACAGCCCCCCCCCCTCCACAGGCACACAACAAGCCCCGCCCCGCGCTGATCAAGCCCCGCCCCCAGTCATCCACAGTTCCCCCCTCCCCCATAGCCCTGTACCCCCCCAGCCCCCCTCAGCCCCGCCCCTCCACTACAGGCCCGCCCCCCCCACCTGCGGCGATTGGGTGGAGGGGCTCACGGGGAGTGGGGGGAGTGGGGGGCTCGCGGGGAGTGGAGGGGCTCACGGGGAGTGGAGGGGCTCACGGGGAGTGGGGGGCTCACGGGGAGTGGAGGGGCTCACGGGGAGTGGAGGGGCTCACGGGGAGTGGGGGGCTCACGGGGAGTGGAGGGGCTCACGGGGAGTGGGGGGCTCACGGGGAGTGGAGGGGCTCACGGGGAGTGGGGGGCTCACGGGGAGTGGAGGGGCTCACGGGGAGTGGGGTTAATGGGGGGCTCACGGGGAGTGGGGGGAGTGGGGGGCTCGCGGGGAGTGGGGTTAATGGGGGGCTCACGGGGAGTGGGGGGAGTGGGGGGGAGTGGGGGGCTCGCGGGGAGTGGGGGGCTCCCGGGGAGTGGGGTTAATGGGGGGCTCACGGGGAGTGGGGGGAGTGGGGGGGAGTGGGGGGCTCGCGGGGAGTGGGGGGCTCGCGGGGAGTGGGGGGCTCACGGGGAGTGGAGGGGTTCACGAGGAGTGGAGGGGCTCACGGGGAGTGGGGGGCTCACGGGGAGTGGAGGGGCTCACGGGGAGTGGGGGGGAGTGGGGTTAATGGGGGGCTCACGGGGAGTGGGGGGGAGTGGGGGGAGTGGGGGGCTCGCGGGGAGTGGGGGGCTCGCGGGGAGTGGGGTTAATGGGGGGCTCACGGGGAGTGGGGGGGAGTGGGGAGTGGGGTTAGTGGGGGGCTCACGGGGAGTGGGGGGAGTGGGGGGCTCGCGGGGAGTGGGGGCTTTCGGTGAGACGTGGAGTAAATATTCGATCCTTACCGCCTGTGTGACGATAGTTCTACAAACTAAACTTGTTTCATTCTACCGGCTGAGCATTGCAAAGCAAAGGAAAGGCAAATAAATGGCTTAATAACAAATACAACTTCAACACAACGATGTATTTCGTTGTACCAGGTGAGGCCCCACTGAGCTATTGGCTTCTTTGCTAGAAACGACCTGGCCATCACGAATCATAGCAGCTCAGCCAAGCGGCTTATCATCATCGTCGTCGTGTGGACATTTATCGCAGCGGCCAAATCCTCTGAACGTGCAGAGACGTTGAGTCTAAATGTGGAGGAATCCACGGGGCGATTGAGAGAGACGCAGACTCCAAATATACAGCAGGCGTCAGGGTCGGGATCGAACCCACGAACCTCCTGCATACCAGGCGAGGTAGTCAACATCTCCTAGCCACCGTGGCCACGTCAGGGTCTGGATCGAACCCACGCCCTCCTGTATACCAGGCGAGGTAGTTAACATCTCATAGCCACCGTGATGTCAGGGTCGGGATCGAACCCACGAACCTCCTGCATACCGGGCGAGGTAGTCAACATCTCCTAGCCACCGTGGCGTCAGGGTCGGGATCGAACCCACGCCCTCCTGCATACCGGGCGAGGTAGTCAACATCTCCTAGCCACCGTAGCGTCCTGTGTCCGTCGTATTGATAGTGCAATGTTAATGTGGCATTGCATTGAGGCACTGGTGCTGTGCCGTGTTCTCGTGGTGTTGTTTTGGGGCTGATTTGTTGCAGTTGTTGCTGTCTTGATCAATAAATGTATTTATGAACTATGTATATGTGTCGTGGGCCAATAACTAGAGGAGAGTCGCTCTGAGGCAACACGTATTTTTTTAAACAAATAATCCCTAACACAAAGGGGTAACAGCCCTTCTACCCGATACGCCTCTCACTGGCTATTCTAACCCTTCCTGAGTGAAGCTTGTTGGTCTTCACTGGTATAGAAGCTGGAGCCGACCCTTGCCAGGGGTACGGCTCTGCCCATCGGGCTCTACTCCTCAGGAGGCTCTTGATCTTCGGGTGGACGACGACTGCCTGGACTGTTCAGAGGTCTGGCTTTTATAGAAGTCCGAGGCTTACTCCGCCCCAGCCACGCCTTTCTTCCAGGACCTTCCACCGGGTCCTGGGAGGTTGACGTCATCCCCCAACCCCCTTCTCGGGGTCTGGGGTCTGCGTCCCAGGATCCGTTTTCCCATCGGGGTTACCGTTGGCCCTTTGGGCCACAGTCCCTTGACACTGGGCTCAGTCACACTACCGCCCCCTATTGACACGTGTTGGATACTACCGGCTGACAGCATGGCGAGTGCATAATAATACCTCTATACTGTACAGTATATGTAGTGACGTGTTGCACTCCTATCTCGTGAGGAGTGTTTTGAGTGTTCGCTGGTGTAACTTTGCTGAACCCTGTTCCCCGTACTGGACGTCTGTGATGAAGCGCTTCGTAGCTTTTCGAATTACTGCAGTCTGAAGGAACATTCTGACTGAATCATGGAGGGGGAGAGACAGCGACCGCGTTGTGAGAGTTACATATGAAGTTAGACTCAATAAGTATTGTAAACATTCCATTTATTTCGCGCTTTTCATCAAGGATCTCAAAGCGCTGTACAGGACATAGCAGTCGCAGCAGACACTCAACATGAAAGCAATCATATTTTATCATGGGACCTCCTTTGCCAGTACCAAAATATGAGAATAGGTTTTCCCCTTTTTTCTGGCAACAAAACAGGTGTTAAGATGTTAAAACGCCAAACTGAAACCTTTTACAAGGAAACAGGACCCTGCGGGGTGGGCTGGTAGGAATAATACTAATACCGGTACAGGGATATCGACTGGGTATAGAGGAGTTAAAAAGAAAATGATTTGTGCATGGGGGGTGAGCGATGACGTCAACACCCCCCTCCCCACTGACTCGCGCGCACACAGAGCAATGACGTCATCACCCCCCTCCCCACTGACTCGCGCGCACACAGAGCGATGACGTCATCACCCCCCTCCTTACTGACTCGCGCGCCCACAGAGCAATGACGTCAACACCCCCCTCCCCACTGACTCGCGAGCCCACAGAGCAATGACGTCAACACCCCCCTCCCCACTGACTCGCGCGCACACAGAGCGATGACGTCAACACCCCCCTCCCCACTGACTCGCGAGCCCACAGAGCAATGACGTCAACACCCCCCTCCCCACTGACTCGCGCGCCCAGAGAGCGATGACGTCCACACCCCCCTCCCCACTGACTCGCGAGCCCACAGAGCGATGACGTCAACACCCCCCTCCCCACTGACTCGCGCGCCCACAGAGCAAGGATTGCAACAGGCGATGTCATTGGCTGCGCCAGATGCGACGGCCATCTTGTTTAGTTCATTTAGTTCACGGATCGCAGGGGGAGCGGGCGGCCATCTTGTCAGACAGAGGGACGGCCTCGCGAAGCCTGTCGCAGTAGGCCTCGCGAAGCCTCCTGCACTAGGCCTCGCGAAGCCTCCTGCAGTAGGCCTCGCGAAGCCTTCCCTGCAATAGGCCTCGCGAAGCCTTCTCTGCAGTAGGCCTCGCGAAGCCTTCTCTGCAATAGGCCTCGCGAAGCCTTCCCTGCAGTAGGCCTCGCGAAGCCTTCTCTGCAGTAGGCCTCGCAAAGCCTGCCACACTAGGCCTCGCGAAGCCTTCCCTGCAGTAGGCCTCGCGAAGCCTCCTGCAGTAGGCCTCACGAAGCCTTCCCTGCAATAGGCCTCGCGAAGCCTTCTCTGCAGTAGGCCTCGCGAAGCCTTCTCTGCAATAGGCCTCGCGAAGCCTTCCCTGCAGTAGGCCTCGCGAAGCCTTCCCTGCAGTAGGCCTCGCGAAGCCTTCTCTGCAGTAGGCCTCGCGAAGCCTTCCCTGCAGTAGGCCTCGCGAAGCCTTCTCTGCAGTAGGCCTCGCAAAGCCTGCCACACTAGGCCTCGCGAAGCCTTCCCTGCAGTAGGCCTCGCGAAGCCTCCTGCAGTAGGCCTCACGAAGCCTTCCCTGCAATAGGCCTCGCGAAGCCTTCTCTGCAGTAGGCCTCGCGAAGCCTTCTCTGCAATAGGCCTCGCGAAGCCTTCCCTGCAGTAGGCCTCGCGAAGCCTTCTCTGCAGTAGGCCTCGCGAAGCCTTCCCTGCAGTAGGCCTCGCGAAGCCTTCTCTGCAGTAGGCCTCGCGAAGCCTTCTCTGCAGTAGGCCTCGCGAAGCCTTCTCTGCAGTAGGCCTCGCGAAGCCTTCTCTGCAATAGGCCTCGCGAAGCCTCCTGCAGTAGGCCTCGCGAAGCCTCCTGCAGTAGGCCTCGCGAAGCCTTCCCTGCAGTAGGCCTCGCAAAGCCTGCCGCACTAGGCCTCGCGCCGTGCTTTTCGTGCACAAATAAGGCGATTAAATGTATCTTGTCTCTGTGTTAATAAATGTATCTTGTCTCTGTGTTAAAAAAAACGTGCTGCGTTTCAGTAAAGTAAATTTGAAGCGAAGTTTATTATTACACTTGTTAAGCCAGGAAAGCCCCACTGAGTCAAAAGGTTTTTGTAGGGTCCTGCCAAGTGTTTGCAGTAGGGGGCGATGTTGCTACACCAAATCGGACGATACGAAGGGAGAGATTGAGGCCTAGTTCTAGGCTTTAGGCCTAGCTGTAGGCTTTAGGGCGCTGTGAGTTTTTTTTATTTAATTTCAAAGTTTTAATTAAAAGCTATCTCAGGGAATAAGGGAATGTTACACGTGTCATGCCAAGTGTTTGCAGTAGGGGGCGATGTTGCTACCAGGATAGCGTCACTGAGTCTAAAGGTTTTTGTAGGGTCATGCCAAGTGTTTGCAGTAGGGGGCGATGTTGATACACGGACGGACGGACGGACAGTCGGACGGACGGACGGACGGACACATTAATCTATTGGTGGTCTGGTCCACTTCGTTCCTACCA